GGTAGGTATGATCTTTGTATTAATCCACTGGAGAATGGCTTTGGTGGGATGCTAGAAATGGCACTACTTCATGTCTTTGTGGAAATCATTAGCATCTCGCGTCCATGTGGCAAGAGACCCCGTGCCATACAGCTGGCATCTAATATCAGGATAGGGGGCCGACGCAACAACCTCAGGAACAACTTATGCAAGTGCTCCGTGAACCCCCTGATTTGATTTATTACCCAGGAAAAAAGGGAATCATCTTGCCTCTCACCTCCACTTCATAAACCTCGTCTAAATTGGCCTCAGGTTGCCAGTTAGCATATAATTCATTAACCATGTTCACATTCACTAACTCACCGGGACGGAACAAGCTTTCAAAACCCAGGTATCTAATTTTGTTCTAAATCCCCAAGAACTTTCTGGCTAGCTTCCCAAATCAATACCAACTTCTGGGTCAGGACTAACTGCCAAAAAAAAGGTCTGGTACCACATCCTAGCATGAGCTGGCACAACCCGAATGCCATACATGTAGCCCGGTACTACATCCACATCGGGATCAATGCACTCATCTTCCTCCTCCACTGGGGCGGGGGGAGGTGCCCACCTACCTCCTCGACGGCTACTTGAGGCAACCACCCCAAACGGGGTAACCACCCCATACTTAGGTTATTGGAAAGTTCACAAGTACAAGTATATCGAGGGTTCAGACTACCCCATTGAAAGCACGCCACATGATTTAACAACCCACCCAACCATCAACATAATATTACAACAACATAAACATGTACTAAACTAGTGTAAACGACAAAATTAAGAAGCTAAACTAGTATCTAAGAAAAGAAAAACAAGAAGTTATACTAATTCACTACTTACAAACACTACACAGGCCCATAACATGAATCGGACATCCCAATTAGCACCTAGCAACACATTAGCATGGGGCGGTCAATCGATTAGCACTCGGGACTAATACGTGAATGTTTCACAACATAAGAACATGACCTCCCACCCCACACTTATCATCAAACATCACATTATCTCATAACAAATTTTCTCTAATTAAGCACAACTTCACCTTCTATGTCATTGGGGCATATTATCGAACACATTGTATTCATCAAGTTCAACGCATAATTTCAACTTCAATTAGTCGAGGACCACTACACAATAACACCAACCAACCTCCGAACAACATCCACACCACCACCACAATGTAATAATAGCACAAAGTGCTCCAAATTTTCACAAAACGCACTTCAATTTTCGGCCATACTGGCAACCCCACCAAACTTCATCACAAAATAATTTCAACACCATCAAAACATACCAAAAATCACCTATAATAATAAGAACAATGAAAACCTTGCAAGTTAAGCACCATTTTCAGCCATAATAAGCAAAGAAAATAATGTTTTAGCACAACTACAGCTACCTAGGGTTTGGTTCAAAATAAACTAAAACTACGTAAATACTATAATTAAACACTAAAAGAAACGAGAAGAGATGAGAGGAAGTCTTACCTTGAAGATGGATGGAAGGGATAAGAGGTATGTGTGGAAGGAATTTGAGAAGAATAAAGAGTTTGGGAGTGGTGTTAGAGTTGAATGAGAGAGGAGAGTAAAAGAATAAAGGGGAAAAGAGGGGGTGAACGGGGTGAGTAGATTGGGCGTCCTTATTTTTTTTACTTTTTCAAAATTATCTTTTTTTTTAAAAACAACTGGCTAGAATACACTATTGCATCACTAGGTGAGGCGCGGTAGTGGGGATATCCAGAGACCCAATTTCTATCAGATGGGCTTGTTTGGCCTAGAGCAGTGCCCCACACGGCGCGCTAGGCCATGTTTCTCAGAGTTCCGATGATTTTTGCTTTTTAGCCCACGGGTTGCACCCCGACTCCATTATGTACTTGTTTTGTGTTCAATTCATTCTTATACCTATCCAAATGAGTGCAGAACTCCTAAATCCTAATCATCTTAGTCTACAATTATCAAAACTATTATATAAAAGCAGAAAAAAAGGGTTAGAAGTAGTTCTGAGTTATAGTCGTCAGCTTTAACTCCATCACTTAGGCTCTTTTGATCACGATGCTAGAGGATTTCTTGTAAAATCCCCCAATAAGGTACGATTTCAACCTGTGCCCATTCACTTTAAAGCTTCCATTCCCTTTCTCATCTTGGATCTCAATGGTGCCATACGGTGAGACATGTTTCACCACATACGGACCTATCCATCTTGCTTTGAATTTTTCGGGGAACAACCTAAGTCTACTATTGTATAGTAAGACTTTGTCCCCTTCATGAAACTCCTTTGGATTATTCGCAACCTTCAACTGCGCCAACATCTGTTCACTTACGATACTAAGATCAAGATTAATCATCTTAATTGCGCAATAGCTTTATGTTCTATTTCAACAGGTAGGTGGCATGATTCTCCATACACTAGTTTGAATGGTGAAGTCCCTATGGTTGTTTTGAACGCAGTTCTGTACGCCCATAGAGCTTTATCCAACTTTACAAACCAATCCTTACGAGAAGCACTAACCGTCTTTTCAAGAATTCGTTTAAGTTCGCGGTTAGCTACTTCAACTTGCCCACTAGTTTGGGCATGGTACAGGGTTCGTATTTTGCGTGTGACCCCATACTTAGACAACAATACAGCGAATTGCTTGTTCACAAAGTGTGACCCATTGTAACTGATAATCACTCGAGGTGTCCCAAAGCGGGTAAAGATGTTCTTCCGCAAGAACTCACACACTACCCGAGCATCATTGGTCCTAGTAGGGATTGCTTCAACCCATTTAGAGACATAGTCTACGGCTACTACGATATACTCATATCAATGGGACGATGAGAATGGTCCCATGAAGTCAATGCCCCAAAAGTAAAAAATTTTACATACTAGAATGGAGTTTAATGGCATCTCATCCCTCTTGCTAATGCTACCTACCCTTTGACACTTGTCACATGCAGCTATATACGCCCGTGCATCTTATTACAATGTAGGCCAATAGAAACTGGCTTCCATGGCCTTTTCTGCAGCGAGATTTCCACCATAGTGTTCTCCAGCTGCTCCATCATGGCAATGAGAAAGAATGCTTGCCATCTCTCCTTCAGGTACACACTTTCGAATCACACAATCCGCACACAGTTTGAACAATAAAGGGTCATTCCGAAAATAACTTTTTACTTCACCTTGAAGCTTCTTTCTTTGATCACGAGAGAGGTCACGAGGCAACCATCCACTAGCCAAAAAGTTGGCTACATCAGCATACCAAGGCGGCCTTTCGGAGACCGCAGTAATGGAGAACATCTATTTATCAGGGAACTCTTCTCTTATGTCAACTGTTTCAATATGAGGTCTCTCAAGTCGAGATAGATGATCAGCAACTTGATTTTTTGTGCCCTTTTTATCTTTGATCTCAAATTCAAACTCTTGGAGCAATAACATCCACCGCATCAAACGCGACTTGGACTCCTTATTACTCAACAGGTATTTCAAGGCTGAGTGATCAGTGTGTACAATCACTTTACTCCCCACCAGGTATGATCTAAACTTGTCAAAAGCAAAGACCACAACAAAGAACTCTTTCTCAGTAGTGGAATAGTTGACTTGAGCATCATTCAACGTCATGCTTGCATAGTATATGGGCCTAAACATCTTATCTTTTCTTTGCCCTAGATTTGCCCCCACAGCTATAACACTAGCATCACATATTATCTCAAATGGCTGGCTCCAATCAGGTGTCTCCATAATAGGAGAACTCACAAGCTTTTTCTTTATCAATTTGAATGCTCTTAAGCACTTCACAGTGAAAACAAACTTGACATCTTTTGCTAGCAATGTAGTCAACGGCTTGGTAATGCTCGAAAAGGCTTTGATGAATCTCCTATAGAACCCAACATGTCCTAAGAAACTCCTTATGCTCTTCACATAAATTGGTGGAGGGAGCCTAGCAATTACATCAACCTTAGCTCTATCAACTTCAACTCCATGTGCAGTCACTTTGTGGCTCAGGACAAATCCCTCTTTCACCATGAAGTAGAACTTCTCCCAGTTAAGAACCATGTGAGTGGCTTCACAATGTTCAAGAACGAGCTCCAAATCTTCAAGCAATCTCAAAGTCATCATCAAAGAGGGTGAAATCATCCATGAATACTTCTAGACACTTACCGTTTAGATCGGATAATATAGACATCATGCACCTCTGAAAAGTGGAAGGTGCATTACACAACCCAAACGGCATCCTCCTGCAAGAAAAAATACCTGACGAGCAAGTGAATATGGTCTTCTCAACATATTCTGGGGCAATGGGTATCTGATTGTGGCATGAGTGCCCATCCAAGAAGCAGTAGCATCCATGTCCATCAATTTTCTCGAGCATTTGATCAATAAGGGGGAGTGGGAAGTGGTCTTTCCTTGTTGCATCATTCAACCTTCTATAAACAATGCACATTCTCCACCCAGTGACTATTCTTGTAGGGATCAATTCATTATCTTCATTCTTCACCACTGTCATGCCCTCCTTCTTAGGTATAACTTGCACCAGACTAATCCACTAGCTATCAGAGATGGGGAAAATCACTCCCGCATCTAGCAATTTGATGATCTCTTTGTGCAATAGATCCTCTACAATTTTGTTCAACTTGTGTTGGCGTTGCACCACTGCTTGCTATTTTCTTCAAACAGAATTTTGTGTATACAAATGGCTGGATTGATTCCTTGAATATCAACTATACTCTAGCTAATGGCCTTTTTGTGCTTTCACAGCAGCTCCACCAGCTTTTGCTCCTCTGTACCAATCAAGTTAGCAGAAATGATCACGGGAAAATTATTAGTTTCAAGAAAAACATATTTCAAGTGATTGGGGAGGACTTTTAATTCCACATTATGACTAGAAGCCTTCTCTTTTAGTTCCTCCTCATTAACCACTTGATCCTTAGTTTCAAAAGCTTCATTCTCTTTCTTTATTTCAGGATCTTCATCCCCCACTATGCTAGACTGAGTAATACACCTCTCTAGAGTATCCCCACAAGCTTGTCAAACATGTAATTTTCATCCAATTCTCCAACAACATCTAACTTGAAGCACGAGTAGGCAGACACCACATCATTGGGGTATTTCATCATCCTCTTCATTTGGAACACCACTTTTTCATTGCCCACTCTGAGCATGAGCATCCCCTCATAGATATCAAGGATAGCTCTGCCTGTACATAAAAATGGCCTCCCTAGAATTAGAGGCACATCCTTGTGCACCTCCATATCCACCACAATAAAGTCTACGGGGAACACAGACTTGTCCACCCGTGATAGAATATCCTCAATGATTCCCTCAGGCAAAATGGTTTTTTGGTCAGTTAGTTGTAGGGACAATGGTATAGATTTGATCACTCCAAGATCACCTTCCAGTTTCCTGAATACAGACATAGGCATTAGATTTATAGACGCACCAGTCATAGAGGGCCTTGTCGAATCTCTCACTCCCCAACGAGTATGGTATGGTGAAGCTTCCTGGGTCCCCACACTTTTGGGGAATTTTGTTGTGCAATATGGCACAGCAGTGGGCATTCAGCTTGACCACTGTTGTCTCCTCCAGTTTTTTATTGCTCGATAGGATTTCCTTAAAAAGTTTTGCATATGCAGGAATTTGAGTGAGTACCTCTGTGAAGGGAATATTCACATAAAGTTGCTTGAGCATCTCCAAGAATCCCCTAAAATATTTGTCAAGTTTCTCCCGCTTCATCTTTTGAAGGAATAGTAAAGCTGGCATATATCTACTTTCTTAAATCTTCTTTTGTAACCCACTACTCTGGCCTTTCTGCTCTTCACTCTTTTTCTCTGCTGGTGTCTCAGTATGCTTGATCACCACCTCAAGCCTAGTTTTCACCAATGGGTCAGTCAATATTTTCCCACTTCTCAGAGATACAACTTTTATTGTTTCCTTTGGGTTATTTTTAGTGTCAAAGGGAAGAGACAAGGAGCCCTCTCAGATAATAAATTTGCAATTTGTCCCATTTGTCTTTCTAAATTTCGGATAGTTGTGCCCCGAGTCTCAACCTTTTCATCTGTTTTGTTGATGAATGCCTTCATGAGAGATTCCATATCAGACTGATTTGGCTGTTATGGCTAGTATTGCTGCCTCTGCTGGTTCTAAAAACCTGGTGGTCCTTCACCCTAAGATCTAGGATTATTTTGCTGCCATGAGTTCAGACTCTCACTAGGTGAACTCGACGAAAAAACTGGATGTCTTTGACCTATAGCATTATAGTTGTTCCCACTTTGGTAGTTTCCTCTATTAAACTTTCCCACAGTGTTGACTTCCTCAGTTGATGCTTGACATTCATGTGTAGGGTGTCCCATTCCACAAAAGTCACATGTTGTTTGCGACTCTCTATGTACCTTGGCCAATGTCAGCTTTCCCACCACCTTGGCCATGGTGTCAAGGTGGTCCTACATGGATATGTTAGAGTCCAGCTAGTGAACCCCAACTGATTTCCTTCTCTCATTGCTCTCACTCGGCCACTGGTTAGCATCCTCAGATAATTCATCAAGGATTAAGACAACCTCCTCCGGAGTTTTCTTCATTAGTGTACCTCCTCTTGCGGTATTCAGAGTTCGTCGCGAGGAAGGTGTCAGTCCATCCCAAAAATACTGTAGTTGCATCCACAAGAACTTTGTGGTCATAGTTTTCCATGTCCTGATCGAACCTGTGGGTAAGCTACAAAGCTAGTGCTTCGTGTCATCTTCCAATGAAAATGGGAATGCCCATAAGTAGACTGTGACCTTTGATATTCCATTGTATTGGAAGATGTTCATGATTTCTTCAAATTCTAGTAAGTGAAGGTTAGGATCTTCATTCACATTCCCTCTAAAAATGCAGTTGTTTTGGATAGTTTGAAGCAAGCCTTGCTTCAATTCGAAGTTGTTTGCTGCTATGGGTGGAGGTCTAACACTTGACAGTCCTTGATTGTATACTGGCCTAGCATAATCGCCCAATGATCTACCAGGCCTAGGTAATGCATTCTCGAACTAGTTTTCAACCAAGGGTCGGTTTAGATTGAATTTTCGACCCTCATTATCTTTGATAGTCTCATTAGCAATTCTCCAGAATGCTTCAGCTATTATCCGTGCAGCTTCTTAATGTGATGCCTCTCTTGCAGCTAAGTCTACTCCGTCATCCTCTTTGTTTACCATGGTATCTTGAGTCAAAGTTTGACCCAAGATATTTTCTGTTAATTCTCTTTCACTTCTCAGTTGTCACATGTGTTTCTCCAACTCTGGTTCGTAGGGTAACACTTCCTTTGAAGAGTATCGAGTCATACACCAGAGAAATCAAACTTGTATCGTGCACACAAGTGAGAAAATATGAATATACTAAAGTAAAATTTGGTCCCTTCATTAGTAATAAAAACTATTTTAAACACCATTAATTGCCAATCCCCGGCAACGACGCCAAAATTTGACAAGCGCAAAACACAACACAAAATTATTGCTCGTTAGTCAAAGATGGTATAGATTAATTATCGTATCCACAGGGACTAGATTTAAACAGTATCCGAATAATCTCCAGTTGATTACTATCCAGGAATAAACACTTTTGATGATTATTATTACGATTAACTACTAAAAATTAAGCAAATAACAATTGATCACAAAAGGTAGCAGATGAGCAACTGAGAAATATCAATGAGAGGAATAAGGGTATTTGACTAGATAGGTGCAAGATAACTGAATCGGGACCCAATTCTTGAGTTAATTCACTCTATAATACGGCTGATTCTCACGAATTCAACCGATAATAATATTACACTTGAAGTTAATGTTCCTCTTTCAATTAAACGTTAATTTCAGTAATTAATCCAATTGAAGCACGGTTAACAATTGCAGCAATAAAATGATGGTTATGATATAAAGGGTAACTTCTCACGAATATTTCCTTATTTTCTAGTTCGATTAACAATTCAAGAGGCTCTTTCGATTACCTATTTGAATCATGAATTTAAATTAGAGCATAAGATGTGAAGAAATTCAATATCAAACTCTATCGATTAAGAAAAATAATAAATTACTCCACAATACAAATTAAAGCTCCATCAATTAATTCTAACAATTATCCAGAATCGAATCCCTAATAAAGTTATCAAAATACCGTATTTGTCAGCATCCTTATGGAAATTACTCCATAGCAATGGAGTAAGACATCTCAATAAGATTCCAAAATAAAGAAAACATCAATTCTAATGATTCTTGCCTTGGTTGGTTCTCCAATCTTTCGTAGGTCAAAAGTCCCTTCAAAAATGTATTTTTGGTGTATTTATTCCCTGTAGAAACAAGACCGATCGAAACTACTCTTTCCTACCCGAAGTAGGAAACAACTATGTAATTTTTGTACACTCGTACCACACGCCGCGCCGCGCCATGCGCTGTGCTAGTGAGGAAATCCAGAGAGGTGAAACTCTGTTAGGGAGAAACAATTACACAGTCGTGCCGCGCCTCATGGTGCCCTATGCCCGCGAGGGAAGGGGGTATGAGGTTTTCTCAAGTAAATCATTTCTTTCACTTTTTGACATTCGTACTTGGTCCTCGACCCCCGAACGTGATCCCGACTTAATTTCTTGGGCTTCTACTCAAACTTCAAAGCTCCAACTTGTTCGATTTCACTCCAAATTATCTTAATAGCTCGAAATCATTCCTACAAGGCATAAAATACGTAATAAGTGTAATTCACTATCATTTAAGCTCAAAGACACGTAAAATGCAGTAATTAAAGTGCAATACTAAGGCTAAAATACGAATTTCTAGCCTACCTTCAGGATTCCCGGCATATTTTCATGGCTGAAGGCAAACTTAGTTATCAAGAATTGACTAAATTTACCTGGTTTTCGGAATTTGCACCCGATGTAGGCCTTTTTGCTACAGTCATTGGGACTAATTAAATGGGATCGAGGTCCTCTATAGTCGAGTCTGCGGCCTCGACCATTTTAGGATCCATAATGACGTCCTTGGTCTCTTCTTGTGTCGACCTCAACCCTGTTGATTGTTGTGCCTCTTTTTCCTTATCTTTTTCTGTTGGGTTATCGTGTTGTCTAAGGTGATGTAGTAGTACTCCCGAGACGTGTGTTGTTCTCCCCGTATGCTGAATATCCCCCAAGGTATTGGGAATTTGATTACTTGGTATAGGCTGGAGGGGATGGCTCTCATAAGATATATCCATGGTCGTCCTTTTATGGAATTGTACGTGGTGGCCTAGTCCATGATGTGGAATGCCATCTCTAGTGTTACGTTTCTGGCCAAGTCGGGGAGTGTAATTTCTCCCGATGTCTGTTCAACTACATTTATAAAACCAGTTAGTGTGATGCAGCGTGGTCGGCATCTGACTTGTTGAAGATGATACTTTCTTCGACTCCGTCATACTATTCGTGGGTGATAAATTGTTTGAGTTTGTGAGTGGTGGTGAATTTAACATTGTTGATGGAGACGTTGTCGTTTTTGCTGATGATCATGTTGATAGTACAATCTGGTGACGGCCGCTTCGTTGGGCCTTCGTGTTCACGTCCTCCGACGAAGTTATTTCTCCCTTTGTCACCCAATAGCTCTTTGAGGTGTCCCTTAGGCAACATGTTTACTGGATGTTGCCAACTGATCAGTTCGAATACTGGTTTGGACCCAGAACATAATAAACCCTTAGGTTTTTATCTATCAATATAATACCCCTTAAGGTTTTTGTTAATCCGCAGTCTACTTATGCGGGTCGGCATCTGACTTGTTGAAGATGATACTTTCTTCGACTTCGTCATACTATTCGTGGGTGATAAATTGTTTGAGTTTGTGAGTGGTGGTGAATTTAACATTGTTGATGGAGACGTTGTCGTTTTTGCTGATGATCATGTTGATAGTACAATCTGGTGACGGCCGCTTCGTTGGGCCTTCGTGTTCACGTCCTCCGACGAAGTTATTTCTCCCTTTGTCACCCAATAGCTCTTTGAGGTGTCCCTTAGGCAACATGTTTACAACTTCTTCTCTGAGAGCGATACAATCTTCTATTTTGTGTCCGCGCTCCTGGTGGAACTAGCGCAAGGCGTCGGATTTTCTAATGTTCGAATCGGACCTCATCTTTGTTGGCCACTTCACTTTCGTTCCGAGTTTCTCCATGGCATAGACTAGTTTTGTAGGTAATACACAAAAATTGTGAGCAGATAAAAATGGGGGCATACCTCTCTCATTCCGGTGAGTCCCTGTTCTCTTCCTGGATGGGCCTTCCTCATAGCGAAGAGAAGTTGGGGCGAGGGCCCTGATATATGGCTGGTGTCATTCCCTATTGGGTCGTGAGATCGGGTGATCTCTCATGACGTTGTCTTTTCATTCGTTCCTGGACTCGGCTTGTATCGAGATGAGCCGATGAGTTGGTCCATTGATGTCGTCTTCATCTGCTCAGACTTTGGCACAGTAAGTATTATGGATCTCATCCCAAGTGGTTGGTAGATATTTCAATAACCGGCTCAGCAATTTCCCAGTAGCTCTCGACCCATCTCTACTAAACCCATTTTGAAAAGCTACGACCATCATCCCCTCGGACTTGTTTTGTAGGGTATTCCTTACCCAATTGAATCGGTTGAGGAATTCCCTCAGTCCCTCTCATAAGGATTGTTTTATGGTGAATATGTCATTTACTCTTGTCTCGGCTTTCCTGGCTCCATCAAGCGCCGTTACGAACTTATCGGCCATTTTCTCGAAGGTTTATAT